TGAAAATTTGCAAAAGCTGGAAAATTCGAGTCAAATTGTACTAGCGTGGTGGAGACGTGTCTTGTTGACTTTCAAAAAAGTCTCTGATGGGATACGTTCGCAGTCCCTATTATTTTTGGTCACATGACCGGCTCCAGACTGCCGTTCAAAATATTGTCGATTAAACCTGATTGCGTGGGCATTATACGTATTTATTATTATTTAACAATAGCAAGGTCTGTGTGATCCACTTTTTTGAACAAAAGTTTATTTTGAAAAAGATATATAACGAATGCATTGCAGTATTTTTCAACCAATAAGATTTGTCGAGAAAAATTCAAAAATTGGAGTAGAACCCTGAAGGCGTGAATTAACAGAAAAGATGCGAATATTATTCCATCATGTCAAGACGGGTGCTTTTAAAAGTAATAGAACCACAGATTGTCCTTTTTAGGACAGGAAAAGTCATCAACGAAAATAAATAAATTTTAAAATAATTGAATTATTTCCCACCCTACAACCCATTTTCCCTTAGTCACAACATAGCAAGCCTCTTGTTATTTTATCACCATTTCAATGGAAAATGTCCCGGAAAGTTACTTTCCCGGTCCCATCGATTTAGACATTTAAAACTAAGACTCACCATATCAAATAGACAGGAATGAACCATTCTCATTTCATTCGTCTTCCATAAGTAAGAAAGTCTTATTCAGAGAGGTTTCTTTCAAAGAGATACTATTATATGAAACAGCCTCTTGAAAGAATGCTTCCATGAACACAACAATCTTCAAGTCTACGCTCAACCGTTATATATTCTACGTATCCTCATAACCAACGTTTTCCTACGTCCACACAACAATCTCATTTATTAACCCACTACCTTGAGTGGCTCTTTTGCCTTCTATTAGGTGAAAATGTAGCGTGTAATATATTTTTATTATCTTTTAATAAACCTGATCTGGAATCTCGACTTCTGTCTCATTCTCACTGACGTGACGTGGATTCCCTCTGTTTATTTTTCTACAAATATTTTTAGCTTTTTTTCCTTAGTGTCTCTATTGCATGAATTTAAACCTGTTACTAGATTGGCAAGTAGGTCTCGCCGTTGTACTGTTCAACTAGCTAGATGCAACAGCCATTTTCTTTCTCGAATTTCTGACCAGTGGAACTCTTTTCCGATTTCTTACTTCCCTGCAAACTCCAATGATTCAATGCAATGTCAGTTGTCATCATCTTTCTTTCTGATCCTTTATTGTCCTTTCCTCAATTCTCATCACTAAAATCTTCTCATCCTCTTTCACTCCCTGTAATCCCTTTGAGTCCTCGTGGCATTATCATCTTATCGATTAAAAAAAAAGTCATACTCAATTTATAGCAATGAAATAAGCTATTTAACAAATATTAACGACAACAGTCCTTTTTCTTTAAATAAATTAAATTAGTTACATTATTTGCATTAATCGGACTATTTACATTATTCGGACTATTTTCCTCATCTTTGTCACCATACGTTTCGGCCGTTGTACGCTCCGGCTTTCTTCAGGTAGTTGGAATGTCGAACTGAACCCTTTATTTCGCTCACTGGGGGTAGATTGTTCTAGTTCCACGTGCTATGTTTAATGGATGTCAGTTATCAGTTATCTCATGTTAATTCCCCTCTCCAAACGTTGTAATGAATATGGCGACAATGATGAGGACAATAGTCCGAATAATGTAAATAGTGTAGAAATATAGACAGATTACTCGGACTGTTATCATCTTCATTGCCATATTCGCAACATTTCGGACGTTGTACGCTCCGGCCTTCTTGAGGTGAACCAAAACTTGGAGAGTTGAGTTAAAAGGGAGATAACTGAGACACCCAGAAGCGGCATGGCACGTGGAACTAGAGCAATGTTTCGTTCGAAATTCCAGTCACCTGAAGAAGGCCGAAGCGTATAACGGTCGAAACGTTGTGAATGTCAATGAAGATGAGAATAACAGTCCGAGTAATGTAAATAATGCATGTAATCATAATACCTCATCTCAGAGATATAAACAGATATTAATTTTTATGAAAAGAGAGTAAACAAAATGTTTCCTAAGAATATACTTCTATGTTCTGTGTCTGTGTTCCATCATGGCTCTCCACAACTTCCTGTCCTGTGTAGCTCTTAATAAAATTTGTTTTTTATCTCTCCTAAAACCTGATCTGCCAACCATTTACACAAGCTCGTTAGGTAGGTGATGCAGTTTCTCTCTATCCCTCTTGCCTTCAATATATCCTGTGAGTGTCAGATTCTCTAAGCCTCATTTCCTCATTAGAAAATTCAGCTGTCTCTTTCTGATGCTACCAAGGGTATTCATTTAGACATGGTTGCTATACGTTCCAGCTTTATCAAAAGTGGGCAGCTGAATTTAGGCGGGAAAGGGAGTCTTGAAGATGACCCAAGGTCTAGACGACCTGCAACTGCCACCACTGAGGAAAACATTGATCATGTTCACTACATGGTGATGTCCCGATATTCTTGCACAATGAAGTTTGTATGACGAAGGATTCTTGTCGATGGGTGCCACGTCTTCTGACAGCTGATCAAAAGTGCACCAGGCTGAGTACATCACGGAAAATCTGGCACTGAGGCAGATCCATCTGGCTTTCTTGAACATTTCCTGTGTTGGCTTCATCATTTTGAACCAGAGACAAATTAACAACCCATGCAATGGAAACACTCCTTCCTTACCTGCCTGCTCCAAAGAATGCTAAGGTCGTTTCATCTGCAGGGCGAGTGATCGTTTCAAAAAGCATTGTTTTTAACTGTTTTCAAAAGGGTCACACCATCAATAGAGAGTGTACTCAAGCTTTCGTAACTGTCTTAGCAAGTTGGCTAAGACCAAACGCCCAGGAAAAACTAAGGAAAGTGCTCATTTCATTTGGACAATACTCCAGGATACAAGTCCTACGTTTCAATGGCTGCTCTGCGTAACTGTGGTTTTGAACTAGTTACCTCCCTATTCACCTGATTTGGCTCTCATCTCCAACATGAAAAAATACTGAACAGCCTTCTTTTAACAGTCAGATATCGATTTACATGGTTATAAACAACGTAGTTATAAATAAAGTTAAAATTAATGAATGCAAGTTTTCACAGCTGTACCATGACCCCATTAATAGTCAGCCTATTAACCTTTCAGCCCACACTCGTACATTAATAGCGGAGTCACGAGAAAAAAACGCCCTTTTAACATACGGTTTTTTTTTTTTTGTTTTTGTTTTTTTTTTTGCTCTTGTTTTTGGATTTTTTTTTTCCGGGTACGAATGTTAAACTTTGCCGCGGTCCTTTACTGAGTGGTACGCTAAAATTAAGAAAAATATGTCGCTGACTTTGCAGTATTTACATATAATTTCGGTATTTACATTGTAGTTTCGTCTGTGTTTAATGCTTTAATTAATTTAATTGCATTAACCCAGTGGTTCGCAAATTTTTCACCCCTGGGCCGCATTTTCGAAATCAGAATTTGCTGGCGCCTCACCAAATATTGTGATAAAAATGTACATTTAGAAATTTTTAAAAAATCAGAGAGTGTTAAAGTGAGATAACCGCGGATTCGAAGTCAGAACATTATCATTGATAACTCTCTCCACCAATTTGCGGACCCAATTTATTATATTCTTAATACTTGATATAATGTAAAAATATCACAATGATAAAATCAGTTTATTTTACATACATATTTAGCATGTTTCTATTGGTGTTAGATTTTTTGTTTTTTTATGCTTCATCTTCTAATATTTCATTTTTATGCTTCATCTTCTAATATTTCATCTTCTAGAACACTGGTTTCCATTCTTTTTACTCTGGGACGCATTTTCGGAATTAAAATTTGCTCGCGTTTCACCAAAAGGAAGTCCCGGTGAAAAAGCACAAGAAGCACTACGACAAAAAAGGTCCAGAGAGTGTGTTAAAGGGAGACAACCAGAACATTATCATTGATAACTCTCTCCTGCAATTTGCTGACCCCAGTTACTATATTAATACTTGATATAATACAAAAATATAACAATACTAAAATCCGTCAATAATTATTTATAACTATTTATACTAGGACTCAGGCATGCAATTATAAGTAAGCCATAATACTATTTTAAATTTTGAAATCATTTATTTTTGGCATATGAATTTTTTGAAATTGTTTCTAAATCTTTGTCTTTCAATCATTCCGCCTCACCTGCTATCCTCTTCAGCCACACCCATGACACGCGCCGCACCGTTTGGGAATTACTGCATTAATCCGTATCATATTGGCGTCAGTTTAAACTGACACCTATTTTTTTTTTTTTTTTTTTTAAACATAAATTTAAATTATAATTATAAACTATAATTTTGAAAAGAGAATCTTTCACTGAAATATGTTGGAAACTTTCCAAGTTTTCATCTGAAATCAATAAAATAGGATCTTTAAGCAAGAGTCAAAACATGGAAAAAAGAAAGCGTCAGCTTAAACTGACACAAGAATTATATAGGTTAAAATTTAATTTTTTTTGTCTTAACATAATATGGTCATAGGTAAGAATATTTTAAACAATTTCAGACCGCCCCCCCCATACACACACACAGACACACGCACACACAAGCACCCTTCATAAGTAATTTTAATTAGGCTTGTTTTCCATGGAGGCGTCGAAAGAGTTAATAGATTATGAATTTAGAGAACTACTTTTTGCGAGAAAATCTGACGTGTCTTTTATCGCCAGTTGTTGTTTTATGTAATTTAATCTGCTCCATTCCCCACAGAGGCGTTAAAAACTGAAATATCTGTACACACATATTCACATCCACCCCCATCTCATAAGCTACATATAGACGAGATTTACATAATGTTATTTTCTCTTTTTTTATCGACAAAGGTGACATCTGTACACAGATAAAATTCAGAAGGAGAAAAGATTGAAAGACAGATGTGCCGGAAAAGATAAACAGACAGACAGATGAGTAAAAATCGGGAGAAGTTTAAGGTAGACAAACGGAAAGATGGGGAAAAAATTAAGAAAGACGGACAAATGGACGGCTGGGGGAATATCGAGACAGGCGGACGGGACAAATGGACGGCTGGGGGAATATCGAGACGGGCGGACGGGACAAATGGACGGCTGTGATGAGATCGAGACGGGCGGACGGGACAAATGGACGGCTGTGATGAGCGAGACGGGCGGACGGGACAAATGGACGGCTGTGATGAGATCGAGACGGGCGGACGGGACAAATGGACGGCTGTGATGAGATCGAGACGGGCGGACGGGACAAATGGACGGCTGTGATGAGATCGAGACGGGCGGACGGGACAAATGGACGGCTGTGATGAGATCGAGACGGGCGGACGGGACAAATGGACGGCTGTGATGAGATCGAGACGGGCGGACGGGACAAATGGACGGCTGTGATGAGATCGAGACGGGCGGACGGGACAAATGATGAGATCGAGACGGGCGGACGGGACAAATGGACGGCTGTGATGAGATCGAGACGGCGGACGGGACAAATGGACGGCTGTGATGAGATCGAGACGGGCGGACGGGACAAATGGACGGCTGTGAGAAGAGTGGATAGATTTTGCAATACAAACGGATGCCAGAAGAGGCACAGAACTGTGATGTCCGAGAGACACATAGACAGATGGAAAGTGATTAAAAGGTAAACTGACAAGTGTGGATAAAATAAAAGCAGATGTAGAAAGACTGGCATAGATTTATGACTTGAAGACATGAATGTATTCATGCACATACATCGGAAGATAGGAACTGGCTGATAAATACTAATGCTAAGATGGGTTTTATGTTAAAGATATAATATTGGATCATTGTACTTCAAGCTTCGTTTGTCTCCTCAGAAGTCATTCTCCATATCAGTTGGCACGTGTCTCTCATCTGTATATTCGCTCGAATTCTACTCTATCTCTTTTATCTTCCCAAAGCTGTATTTGATATTTTGGAAAAAATGATGTTGCAAAAGGAAAAACTATAAGAACCAGTTCAAATGTAACAAGCGTTAAATTTATTATTGGTACCTGTGGAAATTCCACGGGTGTTTCCATTATCTCTTGCCGCCGCTCTTCTCCTCTCGCCCCTTTGTCTGTGTCATTCTTTTTCTTATCCATTCCAATCTTAATTGCTTGTCCATGTTTTTTTATCTAAATGTTAAACATGGATTAGTTTCATATGTGCAAAAACGAATAAGGAATTCACAAATATTCTTCACTGTATCCTCTCATTTATCTTTCTTTTGCTCTATCGTATCCAATGTATTGCAAATTTGACGCCTTTCCATCCTTACCTACTTTTCAATATTTCGTTCATTGTCTCTTTTGATATTGAAAGTCAATTTATCTCTCATCTTCATACATTCCACACTTTATTACCTTTTTTTTTTTTTCTCTCAAGATTTTTCAATTCTTTTTATTTTGCTTTTTTTGCCTTATGTTTTACTTTCTTTTTTGTACTTTGGTTTTTTACTTTCTTTATATTTTCTCTTCATCTGGCGTTTTCATCCTCTTTTCTCTGGCTTTTTTCTCTCCCCCCTTTTTTCTCTGGCTTTATTTTAGTTCCCCCCCCTTTTTCTCTGGCTTTATTTTAGTTCCCCCCTTTTTTTCTCTGGCTTTATTTTAGTCCCCCTTTTTCTCTGGCTTTATTTTAGTTCCCCACTTTTTTCTCTGGCTTTATTTTAGTTCCCCACTTTTTTTCTCTGGCTTTTTTTAGTTCCCTTTTTTTCTCTGGCTTTATTTTAGTTCCCCCTTTTTTTCTGGCTTTATTTTTAGTTCCCCCTTTTTTCTCTGGCTTTATTTTAGTTCCCCCTTTTTTTTTCTCTGGCTTTTTTTCGCTCCCCCTTTTTTCTCTGGCTTTTTTTTTCGCTCCCCCTTTTTTTCTCTCTTTTTTTTCTCTGGCTTTATTTTAGTTCCCCTTTTTTTTCTCTGGCTTTATTTTTGTTGTTTTTTTTGTCTCTGGCTTTTTTTCGCTCCCACTTTTTTTTTTTCTCTGGCTTTTTTCGCTCCCCACTTTTTTTTCTCTGGCTTTTTTCGCTCCTCACTTTTTTTTCCTCTGGCTTTTTTCGCTCCCCACTTTTTTTTCTCTGGCTTTTTTCGCTCCCCACTTTTTTTTCTCTGGCTTTTTTCGCTCCCCACTTTTTTCTCTAGTTTTTGACGGTTCCGTATAGGATATAGGTTCGTTTCCTGTCAGAGGACGCATATTTTCTATGAAAACTTCTCGGACATTCAGGCCGGTAAATGTTGCTTCCTCTTCTCCCTTTTTCTGGCTTCCTTTCTTTCTCTTTTTTTTAATTCTCTGGCTCCCCACCTTTCTCTGGTTTCCTCAATCTGTTATCGCTTTTTCTGTAAAAAGCTCTTTTTGACTCACATCCTTTCTTTCATAAGAGATTTTTCTATCAGAAAGAGTAACTTACACCATTTCCGAAAGGCCAATAATAGGACAGATACTACACTTTGATCCTTGTCAGAAAAATTGTATCGCTCTCGTACATCGACACAAACACAACAGTAGTATAAATTATGCACCAATTTTAATTGATGCTTCTTAATCTTGCAAATAAATGGAGGCTTATTCTTCTTGTCTAATTTTTATTTAATACGATATATTTTATATTTTGAATCATTTCAACGAATTTCCTCTTTTTTCTGACATTCTATCAAAATATCTCACTTGGAAAGCCTAAGTGATTTTAGAAGACCGGCAGATACTACACTCTGATCCTAAGCAGAAAAGCGTAACTCCCAGGGATTTATTATTATTATTATTATAAAAGAGATCCAGCGAGCCAACTAATCTTTATATTTTTTGATGAAATAACTTAGAATTTTGGTTTAAAGTCATTTTTATTGTACTGAATTGACTTTTTAAACTGTTATTTCTAAGAATATAGTTGAGCAACATGGAAATTACAAATTTGAAATACGGAAATCAAAGGAAGATAACAAAATTTAAATATGTGAGGATTGTTTTAATAAAGGACGAAAAGAGCTACACAGAAATCTGAAGGCGCATTTGGATTTGCAAAAGATGCCTTCATGTATATTTTATTTCCAAAAAAAGCAAAGAACAAAGAAATTTTGTATGGAAATAGGTCAGAATTTGCCATGATGATTATTATATCATTAGATATAATCGTTATTTTGTTGCGGTAGATTTTCTTTCTTTCTTTTATTTACTTTTTATCTTTCTTTCTTTCTTTTATTTACTTTTTATCTTTCTTTCTTTTATTTACTTTTTATCTTTTTTCTTCTTTCTTTTTATTTACTTTTTATCTTTTCTTTCTTTTCTTTTTATTTACTTTTTATCTTTCTTTCTTTCTTTTATTTACTTTTTATCTTTCTTTCTTTTATTTACTTTTTATCTTTCTTTCTTTCTTTTATTTACTTTTTATCTTTCTTTCTTTCTTTTATTTACTTTTTATCTTTCTTTCTTCCTTTCATTTTATTTATTTTTTTTCCTTTGTGCCATTCTCCAGTTCGCCGCCTTTTTCTTTCTTTCTTTTGTCTTTATCCTTTCAGCAAATTTATTTCCCCCACTTTTTTTTTTCATATTTCGTTTCTTTTTTTTTTTCTTTCTTTCTTTCGCTACTTTTCTTTCTGTTCTCGTATTCCTTTTATTTTATTTTCCTCTTTCTTGTTAGATTTTTTCTTTCTCCTTCATTGTCCTACAATTCTATTTTCATTTTCGCCCTTATTTTTCGTATTCTTTCTCATTTATATTTCTCTAACCCCTCCTCACCCTTACCTTTTTATAATCTCTGCTTTTTCCGTTTTATTTTCTCTTTTCGTTTTTCCACTCTTTTCATCTTGATCCTTATTTCGGGCCTACCACCTTCTTTCCCTCCTATGTTACTCTCCTCTCCTTCCCCCTGTTTTCTCTCTCTTTTTCTTTCGCCCTGTTTTCTCTCTCTTTTTCTTTCGCCCTGTTTTCTCTCTCTTTTTCTTTCGCCCTGTTTTCTCTCTCATTTTCTTTCGCCCTGTTTTCTCTCTTTTTCTTTCGCCCTGTTTTCTCTCTCTTTTTCTTTCGCCCTGTTTTCTATCCTCTCCCTTCATCTTCCAATACTTTTCTTCTCTTTACATCTTGCGCCTTATTTTTCTCTTTTCTTTCTCCCTCCTCCCTCTCTTATTTTCTATTTTCTCCTTTCTTCGTTTTCTTTTCTCTCCCTTTATCTTCCTATACTTTTCCTCTTCCTACCGCCATTATTTTTCTCCTCTTTCTCTGCTTTCACCGTTTTCTTTTCTTTCTCTTGTCGTAAAAGCGGTATAATTATTTGAGAGCATACGTTTTTATTTCCTTAAGGAGAAACTTAAAACATCTCGATGGTCAAACCAAACATTAATGCAAGTATTACTGACAGAGGTATAAAAGAAAAACTGATGCCAAAAATATATATATATATATATATATATATATATATATATATTATAAATTGATTTAAAATATGGTTTTTCGCTACACAGTTCTAACCATGTTTCAAATCAAAAATGAAAGCTAAAAGCCCCGAATTTAATTTTGTGATTAAATTAAAGACATTAGTTCCATTTCATCCTCAAGCGAATTTTGGAGTATCACAAAATTAAATTCGGGGCTTTTAGCTTCCATTTTTGAAACATGGTTAGAACTGTGTAGCGAAAAAAACATATTTTAAATCAATTCATAATATTAATGCTCTGTAAATTTACATTGAGCACTATTTGGTAAAAATAAAAATATCTATAAGAACACCGGATTATATATCTTACTGTTCTTTCTTATATATATATAATGAGTTGGTTAATCATGGCAAAGGCCAATTTTTTTTAAAGTATTCTGCTTTTGAAATTAATCTTTCACTCGCCAGTATTTTAACTTTATCCTAGGAGACACAATTGTAGTGTTGAAACATAATTACCATTATGTAGCGATTTTAACATGTTTTAATATCCTTATATATATATATATATATATATATATATATATATATATATATATAATCATTTCTGTAGTTATGAAGAAACGTTTGCTCCAGTTTCTTTAAACAAGAAAAATGGTTTCTGTTTAGGCTTCAGTATAGCCATTCTAAGGCCTCTCACTAACCAAAAGATGGAAAACAAACTGGATTTTAAAATCCAACCACTGTTTTGATATAACTTACAGTTGAACTCCGACTTTCCGATATACATTTACGACATTTCTTTTTGTGAGAACATTAAGGCTAGAGATAAATAATTGCTCTTGTTAAGTTCTAAACCTGGCTTCTTCATTCCTTGTTCGACACACAAATGCTGGAAACTTCGACTTAACCCAACCATCCATTATTACTGAGTGTAGGTGTGTATATCATAGGATCGAATATTATGATAGCTGATATCGTACTAACATAGTGTGTATCGTTGTCATAATATAAAGCGTCTATTGAAATGATAATGCCGGTGGACAGTCTTGTCGTTTTGACCTCTGATTAACAGGAGGCTAAATTAAGATTGACAAAAGAAAGAAAAAGGAACATTGTTTATTTCAGTAGACACTCAAACTCAAAATACTTTAGTTTAAGCTTGTAATTACATCTACATTTTTAGATTAATTAATTCGTTTTTTACGGCTTATCAACCCTTTGCAAATTATTTAAAGCCTGAAAATATTTATAGATTGTAAGAATTATTTTTCTTTTAGTTAATGGTGCTAGTCATACTATTTTTTTTTTTTTTAGATAATAATGATACTAGTCTTACTATTTAACCCATAACTGGGGGGGAGAAGAGGTGGAATCATAATTTCCCACAAGGGTATTTGCGCGTAATGAACCCAACGATAATTGGAACACAGCTTTCTGATTAACAATTCCAATCCATTATCCATTACACCACCCGCACGTCCAACCTTAAAGCACTTGGTACTCTCAAGCGGTCCCCCATCTAGGTACAGACCAGGCTCGATGCTGCTTAACTACGGGGAATGTACTTCAGTCGTAATTCATCTAGAGAGTCAAGTTTGGTAACCATTATACCACGTCGAAGTGTCTAAAATTGCAGTTCTCTGCAAAAATAATGCTTATGTACTTGTATGTAATAATTTGCAATCTGAATGGTTCTGTGAGAATAAAGTTTGCTTACCTGATCTCTGTTGCCATTTGTTACATTCAAAGATGAAGCTATAGATATCGTGAGTCGATGGTGTACCATTGTTAGAAACATTTTGACGTCAATATTAACAGGGATACACTTGATCGGTTATAATTTATATAATAAATGCTAATGTCACACTTTTCAATGTTACTCTTAGAGGCCGTAGCCCATTTTGGAATCAGGGAAACTCCGTGAGCAAACTAAAAACCTTCCGGGTCGGATCCGGACCCACAATCAGGAAATTTAGGATTCCCAAATTTCCATTACTGCGATTGTTTTCGGCGATTGTTTTTACGTGATTTTTTGCGACGAATTTTTTTCTACGATAAGAATTTTTATAACTTGGAAATAAATTTGGTAATAATCGAAATTAATTGCGAAATCCAGCAAAAGTCACCCATGAAATAAAAATAATTGTTTGTACGGAAAGTAAGGACCTACGTATATTAAATTGTCTTTAAATTAAATGGCGACAGAAGAATTATCATTGGACTTTTAAAAGGTACGCTTAAATATTAATGCAATACTTAAATGCAGCGAGTTCCTCTGAAGTTTATTGTTGACATTGTCATCTACTTCTCACTACCTATTGTAATTAAGGCCCAATCAAGAGATCTCTCCACAGAAGCTAGCGTATATATATATATATATATATATATATATAATGAAATGGACAAAGACCGACAGTTATTTTAAGACATTTTTTTAATGTTTAAACGTTCTTTTTATAGATACGAATATTTAAGTAAATGCTCTGTTTATAATGAACAGTATTAACGACATTTACCGGCTCGAATGTTCGAGAAATTTTCATAGAACTTTACTCTCACAGAACCATTCTGATTGCAAATTATTACATACAAGTACATAAACATTATTGTTCATTTCATAATGTGTGGGGTCATTTGTTTACATTTGGATACGCATCGAGCAGATATGAATGTACGAGAGAAAATCATGGAGAATTGTAGTTTAAAAGCAGTAAAATCGACCTTGCTAACAGAAACGCTCCTCTGTGGCTCAATCGGTAAAGCACTTCAGGCTATAAGGTTCGTTTCCTGTCGGAGGACGCATATTTTCTATGAAAAACATTCAGGCCGGTAAATGTTGTTAATACTATTTAATATAAACAGAGCATTTACTTAAATATTCGTATCTATAAAAAGAACGTATAAACATAAAAAATACCTTTATTATATATATATATATATATATATATATGACATGTTTATGTTTATACATTCTTTTTATAGATACAAATATTTAAGTAAAAGCTTTCTTTATAATAAACAGTATTAAACAACATTTACCGGCCTGAATGTCCGAGAAATTTTCACAGAAAATATTCGTCCTCCGATAGGATTCGAACCTGTATCCTATACGGAACGGTCATTTAGCTTGACGTGCCTTTACCGATTTGGCTTATACTACAACTATGCAACTTAAAATAATTGTCGGACTTTGTCCATTTTATCATTATATATATATATATATATATATATATATATAATGTGTGTGTAATTTTTTGGGGAGGGGTGTAGAAAAGACGAAAAAACATTTAAGTTAAACTAATGCAAATATTATTTATCAGAAACGTAATCACCTTCATTTCCAATGGCTGCAACCGAATAGTAAACTAGGTTTTCATTTCGACATTTCATTTAATAAAAACTGCCCCCCACAAAAAAAAGTGTTTTAAAGAATATTTTCAACTTCTTTGTTTCTGATCGTTTTGTCAATTATTAAATGTTCTGGAATGGGTCCGTAGTTAAAATGTTTGCTTTTTGGTTGGAATTTCACTATTTATCTATTTATCAGGAAGGTGATTTCTTGATGTTATTGATCTGGAGGAGGCGATCCTTAGATAGGTGACTGAAAAAAATCATACCACGGGTTGACCTAAGCCGTTTGAATGAAATTGAGTTGAAGGGAGCGATCGATGGTTGTAATAGCACAAAGTCACAAGTCATCGTGACCGAGTGTTTGAGCGCGCTGGCCTTGTTCAGACTGTTGATCACGCTACATAACTCGCTCTCTCCCAGAAACTTCAACTAAGGCTCGCTCAGTATAGTTGCAGTATAAGCCATAGGTAGGCTATGTGGGGGTTGAACAAACACAAAATGTGCCTGAGAAACCGGAATTGGCTCACTGCACCAGCAGACGAACAACCTCGAAACCGAGTGGTCGAAACGTTGTAATATGAGGACAATAGTACAATAATGTACATTTTTACCATTTGGAAAATTTTTAACCAAGAAGACCAACGTTTCCCTTTGGCAACTTGGTAAGCAGAAAAAGGTTTTATTCTGGAGCAAAGTAATTCAAGAGCGAACTCGACAAAAGAAACCAGAGCTATAAAATAAAATCTTTCTTCTACATCCTCCATACGCATCAGACTGAGCACCTAGAAATTTCAATTTGCTTCGATCACCAGAACATTTAAAGCATTTTAAGCACTGGTAAAAAATGGTTACTGAAGACATTAGGCTTATAATACCCAGAAAATTCATATACAGTTGGCACAGTAGATAAAGGCGTTAGTTAGATTCAGTGACAGGACCTCAAAGAGTGTGAGTTCAATACCCGATTAAGGCAGTTGAGAACTTTCAGAGGGAAATTAACAGGATATAACTGATAACTAACATCCATTAAACATGGCACGTAGAACTAGAACAGTCTACCACAATGAGCGAAATAAAGAAGGCCGGAGCGTACAACGGCCGAAATGTTGTAATATGGCGACAGAGATGAGAATAGTCCGAATAATGTACATAATACCTCATCTCAGAAATTGGTAAAAATGTGTTCGGTTCCTAAGCGAAAGATCATGAGAAGCCCAAATCCCCTATTTGTAAGTTTTTCCAATGAAACCTTAAAATGAACGTTAACTTGTCGGATAGAAAAGTTGCTAAAAACTATCCTAGACGCAAATTTGTATTACTCATCTTTAGTTTTGCCTTGGTTGATTGACTCATAATTCATGCTAGTAAAATTCGTGGTAACTTTAAGAACATCCTAATATTTAATTCGGCTGTCATCAATGGACGAATATGTCGGACAGGGGGTATTGAATATTAATCTAGCACCAACAACAAAATTCGGTAAAAGATGTAGGCTAATTTTTGGAGGATTTTTTTTGTTGGGAATTGTACAACCAGAAATAATCTATT